ATTGAAATTGAAGAGATAAATAGTTAAAATTTTATATTTTTTTAAAAGAGAATGGATACATATATAAGTTTTATACATTATATTTATATAAAATTTTAATTACTAATCTTTTCATCTTCAATAGTAGAGTTTATTATGATCTTTTGGATAAAAAATAATTATATTTAATTAATGTGAATAAATCTTAATTATTGAAATTGAAGAGATAAATAGTTAAAATTTTATGTAAATATAACATGTAAAATTTATATATAAATAAATTTTTATTTAAAAAAATAAAATAAAAATAAAAACTAAAACTATATCATGAGAAGCAATCTCAAATAAATCTTAAAAAAGTATAATTTCAAAGTTTAAGTACTGTAAAAGTACAAAGAACTAAAATTATTTAAAATTATAATTTGAATAACTAAAATTAATATTTAACCAAACAAATATTTGTTTTGCAGATTGTAAAACACGTTTATAAACATCCTTTTGTTATAAATAAATTTTGTTATTATTGGTGAATGGTTCACCCCATCAAACCCTATAGCTTTTGCGCTTCATAATCTCACTTATTTTTAAGCCATTTTAAACATGTAATATATCGAAAGAAAACTTAAAAACTGATCTATCTCCTCTTACCAATTTCTTAGCATATAAAACAACACAAGTTTTCGTTATTAATGAATATCTAAGATTTAAAAACTTAAATTTACAAAAATTATTGTAAATACGTGATATTTAATATCATTTACATTAGATTCTTTAGATAAAATCCACAATAAAATTCTAGTATCATTTAATTAACATTAAAATTTAGATTTCTAAAAATTTACTGGGGCACCCAACCTCCTCCTTTATGAGCTATCTAATAATTTATATTTCGTAATTTGATACAATTTAAATTATAAAATATGATACTTCTAAATACCACAATTTTTCTTAAAAGAGTTGTCATCATGTTGGGGTACAATGGTGGTCAACTGAAGACTCTATTACTTATTGCTTTTTAATAATACACAAATTTTTCTAGCTTGTACTTTAAGATTATAAGTTAAAAATATTAAAAAAATAAAAAATAACATTTAATTTATTAACTATCTAATTAATTTATTCACGTGATATTTACTCTAAAATTAATATTTACTTTAATATTTTTTTATACTAATTTATTATAAAAAAAGTGCTCTTAACCTACCCTCTTAGGGCACAAGACAAAAGTTTAAAAAATCTGGAATGGCTAGACATATACAATTATAGGGCAAATGTGTTTCTAAGCGATAAGAATTATTGGACAAATGCATGTGCACCCAACTCTCCATTTCAAACAGTATTAAATAATGCACGATTAAGAAAAATGATTAGTATAATTGGTTTAATATACCTTTCAAGTTTCAACACATATCTAGTTTAGTTATTAAAAATAAAATATAAATATAATTAATTTAATTACTTTTTACATGTTATTTGCATGATTATATCAATATTTAAATTTGTTTATTATTAATTTCATACTAAAAAATAATAATTTTTTTAATAAATAAGTTGTATAATGTATCGAATTAGTGTATGTACCAACAAGTAAAAAACCATTTTAAACGAATTAGTATGTGTACCAACAAGTAAGAAACCATTTTAAACTCATAAGACTGACATATTGAGTTCAAAAGTCTCCATGAATATAACTCAGTTACTTTGACTCTAATTTTCCCGGGATTTCATTCATGACTTCATCACCATTCACCATGTGAACAAATTCTTGGTTGATTCCCCAACAAGTGATATTAGATATAATTGTGTGATTGGTGATTGGGATTTGAATTCGTCCAATGACTTGCTTGGATTTGGGTCAAAGAACAGGCGAAGGATTGTTTATGTATAGAAGGGAGGCGTTTGCTGTCCAACAATGTCTACTAGTGAGTAAGTTTGGGTTGGAGGGAATACTCCCATCATTATTAATGTCAATTTAATTTCTGTTCAAAAGATAAAAATAAAAACTTAAAAAGTTAGATTTATTGACAATTAAGTGTAATATTGTAAAGGATAGTAAGTGATATACTATTTGATTTAACATACTTTATAAGACATTTATTAAGAAATTATAATTTGTAAATTTGAATTTAAT